ACCTGTTTATGCTGCTCTCTATGTCCCTGTAGTCCCTGTGGGTATCTAGGAGTTGCATTCTCTAACATATTGTCTGTGCTTAGAAGCAGTATCTCACCAGCTTAGGGAATAAAAGTCAAAACCTTCAGCCTCAGAAGTGTGATCATTGATTGTGCTTTCAGTCCCTCCTGCCTGACTGAAGTCCAAAGATCTCCTTATGTATTGCTGCTTCCAAAATTGCTCTGACATGCTAGATGTTATATTGCTATTAATTCCCTCAGTGCAATTGAAAATGTGGCAAGCTCCCAGTTCTTAAATTTGGATAGGACGTGAGATGACACTGTGATTTTGTTATTGTTGATTTTTTTTGTCCTCTCTTTTTTTTTTTTTCTCCTGTGGAATCCTCTGTGTGGGGAAATGAAAAATGTATTTTAAATCTAGATAGCAACTGGAAACAGATAGTTGTCTTAAGGTGTTCTTGCCTTTGAGACTAACTGTTTTTGTCACACATGTGGTTAAATTCTGAAATCATGTGTAAAAAGTTGCCTGAACATTGCAAGATTACAAGGGAAGAAAAATTCATTCCATTCCTTGAATGGTGAAATGACATCAGATGATTTTCTAGGTATTACTGACTGGAGAGGGAGTAGACTCGCTGGTTTTCAGGTATCCAGGGGAACCAAAGTGCCTTGGCCAATAAAGCTGCACCCAGGCTTCAGATTAGGCCAGGGTCTGCAGGTAGCTCTAAATATTCCTGCGCAGTCTTAGAGAGGCAAATGCAATTTGTTTGGCATATTCTGTTTTCACTTTACACAGTTTTGCTCTCTCTTGTGGAGGAGATTTATTAGCTCGAGGGAAATTAGCTCAGTCTGCATTATTTATATAGTCTTGAGTTCTGTTCCAAGTGACTTCCAGAAACCTAATGACTCTTCCTGTTACATCTTTCATGTGCACTCTGCCCCTCATGTGGAATTGCCAGTGACTTGCTGTAATTCAGAGCCCAGGGCTTGTTGGAGGGGTCTGATGCTGTGGGGAATTCCAGTAGGGATTCCCAGAAATTTGGAATCAGTTTGCAAATCCCTGGTAGACTCCGTGACATGACAGTGATATATTACGTTGTTTTGCCTGGCCCTCATTGCTGTGATGAGGTTAACATTTTTTTTTTGTTGTTGTTTTTGTCTTGTATGCTTTGATTATTGTAAAGTTTGAAGCATGAAAAGAAGCATTGGAGTAAGTTGTCAAGGGCAGAGCCCCAACAGTAGCAATTTCACACCTGTGAATGGCTGCTAGTCCTGTGGCCTGAAGCAGTTAAAGCTGACCAGGTGCAAATGACAGCCGAGAGCCACCTTGCTCCCTTGCATATTGTCTGGCTTGAGTAGCTGCCGAGTGTTAACCTCCCTGATCAAGTGAACCATTCCTGCTCAGGGGTGTCGTGCTTGACTGGCAATACTTCTAGGTATTTTCACATTGTTCAGCACTAATAGGCTCTGCTTTTAGCGGGGGCCTTTAGACCTAATGAGAACTATCTCAAAGAATTAACTAAATAGGTCACCTGAATAGAAGCTACAATAAGGGGAGTGAAAGTTAATGAATAAAATATTTCATAAAATGCAGTGTCACGGTGCAACCAATCGCCTGCTGGTAATGATGTAGACTGCTTTGCCAGCCTTAGCAGCTCTGTGTTTTTTTTTTTTTTTTTTTTTTTCTTTTCTTTTTTTTTTCTTCCTCTCTCCATGGTTTCTCTTTTAGCTTCTGCCTGGTTTACCTTTGCCCTCTTCCAGCTTAACAGTCTCTTGGGGGGATTTTATAACAATCAGCTCGGTGAACAGGAGGAATAGGAGAGCTGCTGAGCTGTGTCACTGGAAGAACTTCGACAGCCTGGAAATTGACATCATTACACTTGCATTAACTGCTCAGATAGACACAGGATTACATGCAATAGGGAAACAAGTACGTACACAAGAATAAGGTTGTTCAAGGAATATCAGCATAGAACAGAGGTGTCACTTACTGAAGCAGACTCACTATAAAAGCTTTATTTTTTCCAGGTAGCACATTAACAAGGCCCGCTCTGGGGGACAGAGAAAAAGAGGGAAAGAGGAGGTGTCAGAGAACAGTACAGGCATTTTCCAACACAATCAGAAGATCCCCCCTTAAAATAAGCAAAGCAGCCTTTGGCCTGAAGATTCCCTGGAAATATATGACCCTCTAGTAGCAAGTGAGCAACTGGAAGGAGCCCCACAGCAAATGCCATGGCAGCTAGCAGATGAGTGAGCTGATCAATTGCAAAACAGAGTTTTTATTAATTCTCACTCTAAAATGAAGTCAAGATGAAAGCAATGCATTTAATGTGTATACATCTGAGCCACAGCTTGGGGTAAGAGGCTCTCTTATCACCTGTGGAGCAGAAGTTAAAAGATCTATCGGTGTTGTATTCTGAAGACATTTAGCTGAACACTTGCTGTGAGACTGCACAGATGGTTTCACAGTGTACTGGTGTTACAGCTGCAAGTTCAGCCTGTGCTTTCAGACATACATTGACAAGGCTGTCAGTGTTGCATGAGCACTGATCCAGTCAGAGGGAATGATGCTTAAAAGCTCAGGAGGTCCAGCTGATCAGACACATGGGCAGCCGGAAGATACATTAGAGTCCTACTGCGTACAGGACTGTTAAAAACAGTACATCTTCCAGTAGGGTTTGGACAGATTGTTTTGGCTTTCATTAAAAACCCGATCATCTGACACTTTTTTTTTCTGGGTTCACGTTCCTCATTGTACGGATGCAGTTTAAATATGTTTAAATATGTGACAACCTCTGCTTTCTTACATTGCAAAATCAAAACCAGAAGGACCTGAAGACATATTGGTACTTCTGATTTAATGTTGCATGAACTGAATATGCTTGCTTCCTCTGGTTTCTAACAGATTTTGCTAATATAACAGTTTGAGGAAGGTATATCTAGAAATTACTATGCAACAGCCTCCGTAAGGCTGGCTATTCTTTTTAAATTAAAAACTGAGATTAAATTAGTATCTGCTTTCCAGCAATTTCCTAGATATTTGAGGCTGGAAGGGAAGGCTGCAAGGGTGTGACCAGACCACCTCACACTCTGACACCAAAGGTGTTCTCCTAGTAATCTCTGCATGAAACCATAATTTCTGCTTTGTCTAGAAGACTTCTTTGAAAAGGACAGTTTGGGGATATTCTAGTATTAATATAATTTATGAACCATGTTCCCTAGAGTAAAACACTTAAATACATCAGTATCTTACTCTAGTTTCTCTGAATACTTATTTAGAAATCTCTGTTGGAAAGAGAGGAGAAAGATATACAAAATAAACATAAGACCTAATGTAGTCATTTTAAAGGTGAACTGCTTTAAGCACATATGTAGGTTTAATGAAGTTGATAGATTTATTTGTATTTCTGTACCACATTCTATAAAGTCCAGCTGAGTGGGGGATAGGGTGGTTGAATTGTAAACAGGTTCTTCATGTGGGGAGGACACAAGAAAAAGGGAATAATCTGAACTACCATCTGAAGTGGAGTAGCTAGTTCAAATTAAATGTTTTTTGAAGTCTTGCACACATAATTAACTGGTCTTTAATTCAGTTTGTCTTGTTTAACTTGTGAATCTATGCTGGAGACAGACATTTTTATTAATGACTGAAGTTCAGACATGTTTGTTTAGCAAATGGTTGTGTTGTGCTGCTGCCAAAGGCTACCACTTCTACCCTGGTACAGAGAAGATAAGTGCCTTGCAGACGTATCAGTCCAGCAGCCCAAACTAACCTGAGGTGATCCGACTAACCTGCTAGAGTATGATGAAACCTCAGCCTAAACTCCAAACTGTTCAGATAAGACCGTTATCAATGGCTCACTTGCTCTGCAGCGCCTATTTTGCAAAGGCTCTTGTGACAGCTTATACAAATCTTTCAGTTTGTGCAGTTAAAAAGATGAGTAATGCACTTGAAACATTGAGGAATCTTTCAGAGGTGGGAAAAAGAAATGAGAAAGGCAAGATATAAAGGATTTCAGCACTTCAGGTTTCTGCTATTTTTCGGGAAAGAAGAACATTCAGTTTTTTAAAGAGTTCCTTATCTAGCTGTTATTGTCCTCTGGAGGGGAAAACAAAAACCAAAAAACAATATTTATCTTGTCTGGGACTGTAATTTTCTGAATTTTGATGTGCAGGCATGACTTTTTTGAGTTATGCATGTTTGAGTTAAAAACAAGCCATAAAGCAATGGAGGCACAAAGAATCTGTTCTCTGCTTTGTCTACTGCATCTTGAAGCAGGTACTTCACTTTTTGTGTAATCTTTGTCTGAAGTTGTATTGCTGGGGGTTGCATTGCGTTATCTTTAAGCAGTTAAATAATTTAAAACTAATGGCAAAGCAAATAAAATTAAACAGTTGTGGCATGGGAGCAGAACTGGGTAAGAGAATAACTCCTCTAACAGTTCTTTGAACAGCTGTTCATTGAAGACTTGTGAGCAAGTACTAGCAAACTGAAGATCCCTAGTCATTTCATAAACATATAGAGGTAATTTCTAGATATGTTTATAAGAAATACACACTTGCGGATAAATAGGTAATTTTGACTGTGCTCATTAAAATATCAACCTTGGAATAATACATTTCTCCAACCTCAGTCCATTGAGATGATTGTTGGCAGATATTTTGCAAATATTGCTAGCTGATAGAGTACATTGTATTTATGTGAGATATTTACAAGTACTGTTATTGTTGGCTTGTTTCTATGGTAATAGAGGGACAAACATCACTGCTACAAGGAAGCTAACTGGATCCTTTAAATATTATGATATTCCATGTCTCTATTAGTTAAGATCAAAGGCTTGTCATGGCTACTGAATGCATAATACACAAGTGGAGTTTAGTTTTAGCTATTGTAGAAAGAAAATATTATTATTTTATTGCATGTCATTTGGAAGACTCTCTAAAAACTGTATGTTCTTTCCCCTTAGTTGCTCACAGTATTTCTTCTTTCCCACTCTTTAGTTATGGTCTCCTGAGCAAACCGTTACTTATTGGCTGTTGACCCTGTGACCAAGAGAAGCGTTGACAAGGCTCCAAAGGAATTCCCTCTGCAGAAATGAGTTCAGAAGTAGAAAAGGTAATTAGTTAATTGAATTTGATACACTTCTGCTTTAGACTTTCAGCGGGCTGTATGTTTGTTAATATTTGTGTCTGAGGACCAACTTGTAGAAAGTTAATAATAAATCCGTGTAACAGAATGAACAGTGACAAGTCAGGGTCAAATGATACTAAGAAATAAGAAACTCACTTAAGTTTCTGGCAACCAAAGGAAGTGGAATGCTGCTAGTGGGACATCAGTGTATGTCTGTTTGCAGGAAGATAAGGAAAAGTACAAATTAGTAGCCTCAGTTCTGCAGTGGACTGATAAACAGAATAAAGTGGAAGGATGGAGTTAGTGCATGGGTAAAATGGACATGTTGGCAAAGCATTTGTATCATTTTTTCAGAAGAGAGGTTAGGCCTCACAAATTCATCCAAGTTTTTTTGCAGTACCCAAAAATCAAGTGGGTAATGGCAATCCCAGTGATACAGACTACTTTAATATTGGTAGTACTTGGCACTTATGCTTCAACAAATGAAGGTGCCGAAGGAATTACCATAAATTGCATTACCTTGCTCTTGCATGGATAAATAATTAGTTAAGTAGAAAGAACTTAGAAATGAATGATCAGATTTCAAAGCGTATAGAAGTATTGTTGTTGTTAGAGGAGTCTGCATTTGAGTCACCACTGCTCAACGTACAATCTTGAAAGTGGAGTGAATAGACAGGTGACAGTTTACCAACAGTGCTGAGAATCTCACGATATTAATGATAAAGGCTCACGATATTAATGATAAAGGCCATCTGCACAGAACTGCAGAGAAATCTTATGTGCTGAAGTCATTGGGTGAAGGAAATGGCAGATGAAACCATGGAGGTGAATGTAAAGTCATGCATTTAAGACCTTGTCTGTCCGTATAAAATTATGGCTTCTCAGCTGTCTGTTTCCAGTTAGGAATGAGATCTTAGCATCTTGATAGATGGCATGAAGAAAATACTAGATCACTTCTCAGTGTTATCCAAAAAGCTAATAATATGCTAGGAATACCAGGGAAGAAACAGCAAACTGAAACCATGCCTGTTCCTGGTTCCCCTTCCACATAGAAAAAGGCTTCTGGGTATAGCTGGAAGAGATACAGAGCAGTGCATTAAGGACCTCCTTAACTTCTGCACAATCAATGATACAGAGAAACATTCTTCCATTTGGAAAAGAGATGGCTCAGAGAGAACGTAATAGAGAGGCAGAAATAAGGAACAGTTTGTACACTGAATTTCTCTTCCAGTACAAGAATTAGGGGATATCACGGGATCAGCAGGTGGTCAGCTCAGCACAGATAAATTAGCAGTAGTTGATCACATGACACACAAAATGTTCTGAATGCTTTTCTGAGCTCATGCCAACTTATATTTGGATGCATAAGCAAAAGCAAGAAAGTGCCCTGATTCCTATTTAGTCCCTCCTCCTTGAAAAAAATCCCAATTTACCTTAGAAGACGAAAGAGGCAAAATCTCTGACTGATTTAAGGAGAACAGATTATGCAATTTCTTACACTATTTCCTTTTCGGAGTGTTGCCAAATCGATAACTATGTGAACAATGGAAAAAGCTGACTCCAATGATTTTTCTACTTTAAAAAATACACTTCTGAAAGCTCGTAACCATTCCTGCTTTGCTGGCTATGTTGGCAAATGCTATCTTTAATGGAGCATAGATTAGTGTTTCATAAATTCAAGTTCAAAATTAAAAACTGAGAAGGTAATTTCTCCTGTCTAACCCACAGGGGAATGTTGTTTTGTTCAGCATGCTGGAGCAGTCTTTTTCTGAAAGCGTGGCTAATCTGAAATACAGTAAGCTGTATTATTTCCTATTCAGTCTGCTAGCTGTTTTGTTAGATTGTTCATCCTTTGGCATGCAAGGAAAAAATTAAAGTTTAATTGTACAAGGAAGATAATTTTCACACAATTGCTTCTCTCAAGAGATGAAATGCGATCTTTTTTTTTCTCTTGTATGGAAAGCCTTGTGTGGGTGTGTGTGTGTTGGATCTGAATTTACCAGTGACTTCAGCAGTAACAATCAGCTTGATGATTGTCCTTGTGTATGAGCAGAGCATATCTGACCATCACTGCCATCTGATCCTCTTTGGACCAAGGAGCAATTTCTTATTGCATACAGTCATCCAGCAGGGCCCTTTTGCTGACCTGGCAGAATGGATGTTTTCCATCCTCAGCCAAGCAGGTCATCTCAGGTAAAGTTGGGAGAAATACCCATAGAGGCAGTGGTAAAAGAGGCCTGATTCCTATTAAGTTTGTTATATTGCTGAAGGTTCTCTCTCCTAGGCTCACAGCTCTGTGCTATTTGTAGTTCTAGGGGACACAACCGTATTCTGTATCTCCTCAGTGTGTATTTCGTGATTTGGCTGGAGGAAGCACTGCAAATGAGCTAAACAGCTGTTTTCTTCAGCATTTCTATGTTTGGGGAGCAAGAGAATAAACCAAAGAAAGGCTGGGAATAATTATATATTACTGTTATTACCATTGCTTTCCAGACTGTGCAATCATTTATCCTGTCACGACCTGTCTGTCTTCTCTGAACTGCTCAGTGGGACTTGAGTTTCTTTAGAATTAATCCCATGTTTAAGGGCTTTCCTTGTTTATGTGAACACACAGGAATGCTTACCAAGCTACTCAGCAATGAACGGTTGTATAGAAAGTGCTGTGGAAAGGCTTATCTCAGAAAAATGCTCTTTAATTTATCCTCTATTTTCTCTATTTTTTTCTGGCCTTCTATGTGTCATCATTTATATGTTTTTTGACTTATAGAATATACTGAGAAATGGCATTTCAAATGCCTGTATTTACTTATAAGGCCTTGCTTTCTTAGAAACGTTCTAGCTATATTTAATCAAAGAATTAATAAAATGAAAGATAGGGAGAGAGAGAGGATTTAATTTCAAAGTTTCATTGCTAAAGTTTACTGCATGTTAAATGTAGGGAGTTTGCTGCAGCCTAAGTAGGCGGAAATGGATACTTTTCTTTCTGGTTGTTTTTTAAATTGTGTGCACATTGTTGATTCCAATGACTGCAAGGGTAATTATTTCTTTGTTTGCCAGGAACATTAAAATTGCTGTGGTTTCTAAAGAAAATGTGCTTAGGCTTCTTGAAAGCAAGCACACAATAGGCTATCATAGCTACCTTTTCTACTGGCATTATTTTAAGTAATAGTAGTACACAGTAATTAACCCTTTGTGCTTGAAGATGCACATCATAGTCTCAATCAATGGGTGCTTAAAGAATAAAGGGGCAGGGAATGAGCAGTTTCAAGATTCACTTTTGAAAAGTGTCTAGTTGAACTGCCAGGATCTTCAACAATAGCCATCTTTCAATAGCATATTGGATTTCTCAGACCATTATCTCATGTATTAAGTCAATAAAACGCTTGGTTTTACTTGCTTTGAAAAATGTGTGGGTGAAGATAGAACTTAGAAAAGTGCAAACCATGTCTGCTGTTGGAGACAACTCTCGTAAGGGGCAGGTGATGTGTGGACTTCTACCTTGCAGCCTTGACTGAAACCTGGCCAAATCACAGGCCTACACATGATGTGCTAACATTCCCTCTTCTTACTTGAGCATGCAGGCTATTTCCCATTTCTTATCCCCTGAATGAAGGTAGCCTCTTGTAAAAATATCTTTTTTTCCCTCTACTGAATGAATGATCTTGCCCAATGGTTGTTTTTATTCCCTGGCTCTCTGCAATATAACCTGTTTTCCTGCTGCTGTATTCAGTGCCGCTTTGGAATTTCCACAGAGGGATTTTAAAATGCAGAAGGAGCAAAGCAATGGTTCTCTTAGAGAATAAAAGACAAATTTGTCTTTATGTAAATATCCTGTAAAGGACTAGAATTGGGAAATTAATTTAATTTCATGTTTATATGGCTGTTTAAGATACTTCAAACCCACCAATTAATCCTAAACTCATCTGCTACACTAATGCAACAAAGTGTGGGACTTCATCTTTTTCAGGGGTTGATACTACGAAGCCCACCGTGAACAAACCTTCAGGTAATGTTCCCAGTTGATTGGCCCTGAGCCCCTGTGATTAGAACCATCATAAGGGACAGAAGTTAATCAATTAATCCAGCTAAAGGTATTTGGTGGTGGATATGAGGGAAGTAATTTGTTACTGTGTGTTCCTCAGGAGGAATGGTCCTATATAGGCATTGGTTGCAGTTTGGAGTTTGCGCCCAGAAAGATGAAGACCAGAGCTATGTAAAAGAGAGGAGTGCTCCAAAAGCTCCAGGTCCTGCTTATTTCTGTAACTGTTCTGCACTGGAGATTAGTGCATAGCAATCACTGGGATCCTCTGTATCCTCAGCGTTGGAGGCACATACATCATGGAGACAGGAAGAGTTGTCACGTGCTTATGCAGGTCCTGTAGCTGTGAATCACATCTCTGCAAAGAAGGGGAGAAAAAAATCTTACTGAGATAAAAATTTATGGCAGTAAGAATTTTGAAAAAGGGGATCAAAAGAAATCATCTTGATAAAGCAGGCCTGATATCTTCTTCCTCACCATTTTCTACTTCTACATAAACAAACAAGTATGAGAGATGGGTGTGGGGAGACTGTGGTTTATTACGTGACATAAATATTCATCACCCCTCGGAGATTTTGTAGACAGAAGCCTTGTCATTGCTAATGTGTGGTTGCTTTGCAAGTGGTCTGGCAGTATGCTTGAATTAAAGCCAGAATAAATTTGAAATTAAGATTGGAATGTGTATGTTATGGAAGGCCCCCCAAAGGCTCATATTTCAGTGGTAAAATATTCAAATGGGGTCCTTTCTCTGTAGCAGGTTTCTTTCTGGGGGACAGCAGATCAAAAGCAATGGCTCAGTGTACCGTACAGGTAGTGTTGTTTGTGTGCAAGCTGAGCAAGAGCTATATCCCTCTCAGCTTTTGCTGTGTAACGTTGCATATGTTTTACCCGACAGACAGTACTTTGCATAGGTATTTACCTTCATTTATACATTCTGGCTCATTTG